TCATACATCATTTGCAAGCATGCCGCTTTTTCTACATTTTATACTAATTGATCAACACATCCTGTAATTGCAAGGGGATCCCCCCGTTCAAGGGGACTGAGACCTCCAGCCCAGTAGGCTTCTCTTTGGGTTAGAGACCGGGGAGCACGGCAGTCACCGGTAGTTAGAAACACTCCTGGTCCCCAATATCCTTCAGCTTCTTTTTCACTTAAGAGTATTTGGTCTCCACCTGACAACGACACCCTCCACAAATATTCTGTCTCTGATTCTTTGGGGCTGCGACCAAACTCCTTTTTTAATTTGGCTAATTCCATTGCAGTATACGGCACTTCTTTTGTAGTAATTTGAGGGGAGTCGTCTAGGTCGTTGTCATATGTGAACTCAGTTTTGATCAAAGGTCGGAGGGCACAAGGGGGCATTTCTAATTTGTCCAGTCTTAATTTTGCCTCCTCTAGCTCCTCACAGGGGTAGATTATTTCCCTTTTCGGGGCAAACTGATTTCACGACTCTCGCCTGTAAAAAATTGTTCTTCAAAATCAGATCGTAGATCATCTTCCTGGGCTCTCTGGTGTTCTAATTGCCCCTTTAGATTCTCTATTTGTCCTTGCAGGGACTGGATGATGGTTTGCAAGGACTGTATTGTCTGAGACTCGACACTACACTGCCGGTCTCTTGCTTCCACAGCTACAACCAAGCTGGCACCCAAAACTGCAGAAATGATTGATTTTCCTTTTCCAGACCGAAGTCTAGCGTCCTTTTGCAGGGCACTGATCCGCTTGGTAACACTCTGCAAATTATACCAATTTTCTTGTGCCCAATTGATACCTGGTACCGAAAGGCGAGAGTTAAACTTCTCTAAAAAATTAAACACTATGTCTCTGCTTGCGGGGACAACGTTGTTGTCACCCATATTCAACAAACAAGCAGGGCATTCATCTCAGAGAGGCAGCATGTAAAAGTTACATCACAACAGTTTTGCCCCAAAACATCTCTGAGAGGTTCGCACAAACAAACAAATGGGCCATCTGTCTCAGAGAGGCAACACGTAAAAGTTACAACACAAAAGTTTTGCCCCCGAACTTCTCTGAGACTTTCTCACATACACCTTTTGACACTTTTCTGTCACAGGGATCCTGTTCATGACCCCAGTTAAAATGTCAAGGTCCAACCAGCAGTGCCTTGATTAAATTGTTCGATCCCCGGGACAGAAATTAAGACACAAACGAGGTCAAGTGTCAGCTCCAAGCTAGGTATACTTTTATTTTCTCAATGAGGACATATGCGATAGGAGGGAGAGAGAGAGAGAAAAAGAAAGAAGCAGCGAGTGATCGAGATAGATTAGCAAGAGATAGTCACCACCCTGGATCCAGCGTTGCTTTTACTGCTCATCCAGTCATCGGTGGTGGGTACGTACACCTTCCAAAGAGGTTGGCTTCCTTTTATGTCTTCCTGCCATCTCATTCTCAGTAGTCTTATGTTGTTTCTCAGAAGATGTTTACTTCTTGGACGATGCCCATGCAGGAACATAGTGTACATGCAATACACCTGTTGCGGTCGCCTTCGCGACAGAGCCCCCCTGCAAGGAGCCCCGGCCCGAAGTCGTACTCTTTGTGCATGCGTCAGATGTTCTCACTGTTAGCATCGACTCTACTTGTAGGTGTTTTCTATCCCAGATGCCTTAACCACATTCGCCTAGGCTTTGAGGCAGTTAGCTAGCTCAGTGCTCCACAGGGCCAGAAACAGCTGTCTCATCTGTGGTATCAGAATGGCAAAAGGGTACAGAGAGACTGTTTTTTCCTTTGTACAGTCGCTGGCAGCAAAACCACAGGAGGAAGTTTTGTGCACTTTATGTACCAAGAAATGTTTAAGGCAGAATGGTCATCACTGTCCATCACAGTACCACGCAGCTGCTCTCTCACTCCTCCCCCCTCCCCCAGCGCTGGTGGAAATCGGAAAAAAGGAAATCAGAAAAAGGTAAAACTGATGGGTTAAGGTAAGAGCAGTTTAGCATTTGAGATAAAGTTAATAATAATAA